TGTATATATATATACATATGTGTATACATATATACATATATACATATATGTATACATATATACATATATGTATACATATATACATATATGTATACATATATACATACATATATACATATATACATATATGTATACATATATACATTTTCTTTTTATGTTTAAACTTCTAAAGAGTTGTTACTTGTGTTCAAATATAAGGAGGATTGACGAAGTATTTTTCAATTTTAGTTAGAGTTGTTATGTGTGCTAAATAATATGTTGCACTTCAGACTTCATAAACTCTGACTCATATGTAAAGAATCAAGTTAAAAATTGTGATTATATCATGCAAGTAAAATATCGAGAATTTACATTGTAAGAAAAAAATTCTTGTTAAAGGAATTAAAGTTCGTACATAAACAAAATAAAATAAAATATTTTTAGCACATGCAGATGTTATCAATTGAAATACTTATGTTGAGAACAGGACTTGCAAATTGAGAGTTACGACTTGCTCCGTGGGTAAGGAGACCCGCACAAATGTTTGTCAATTTGAATTTAAGTTTTATACAAAAACTGAAAAGCAAAAAAAAAAAAAAGTTGCATGGTTTTTAGAGCAATAGCATATTTCTCGAGTTGAGTTAAATTTTAATTCAATTCATTCTCAGAATTTTTTCAATCCACAAAGCACTCTTAAATTTTTCGTTCGTGCATTCAACAGGTTTGTCAAAATACATATAAACAAGTTTACTTTTGATACGCTTGTACGACTCTCAATGCACTTACATGATATGCTTGCATTATTTTTCAATGCACTTACATGATACTATTGCAAACTTTTTAGTGCACCTACACAACAGGAGATGTTGAAAATAGTATCTAAAATTTGTGTCGGATTTTTTCGACGCCAATATTTGCATCCGATTTGTGGTTGTAAAGCGGTGAAACATAACTTTTAATATCTATGGTAGATTTTTCCTTTAATTTGCTTCCAATAAATAGATGTAAAAGCTTGTATAGAAATAACAAAACCATAAAGGCATTGTGACGAATTTAGCGTCTACTTTGCGTCAAATAAATCAATCAGCCACCAAAGCCCAATCATAAAATCACCCGCTTTGGTATGATGGGCCACAAATGTCTGATCGGTGAAAAAAACCATTTTGGTCCGACTGGCCACCAAGGCTCAGCCGAAAAACCAATCATTTTGGTTCGATTGGCCAACATGGCCCAATCGATGAAACCATTTACTTTGGTTCGATCAGCGGGGAAGGCTTGATCATAAAACCAATCTTTTGGTTCGACCGGCCACCAAGGCTCAGTCATAGAGCCAAACCACTTTGGCTCGATCGGTTGGCAAGGCTCGATCATAAAACCAATCTTTTGGTTCGATCGGTAGGGCCCAATCAACCGATCACTTACATGTTGCAGGTGTTTGCATTTCACTTGTGCACCTTTGAATGTTCTGCTCGCATAGCATTTTGCATGTTCACGACACTCATGTGTCTTTCTTGAGCGCTGCTTGTCACACACTCACCACGATACTCATGTGTCTTCTTCGGGGATGGCTTACATATCAAGCCTACCCGATGTCTGATTCTCTCTAGCGAGAATTGTACCACTCCACTACGCCTTGTGTGCTCAATTCGGGTCACGCCTTAGAGCCATTGAACCCCTTAAATCCACAATGTGTGCTCACAAGTTTGTCATATGCATGTGCATTGTCTTTTGTGTATTGATAGCAAGTTAAACTTGTCGGATAAGTGACATTGTATTGATTGTGATGTTTTAATGAGCACTGCTTGTCGGGTGAACCATAATGAGTAATGCGAGTTATTGCATTACGGTCAATACAAGTATAATTTTGCTAAATATCTAATGGATCTAACTTGTGTCATCTTACATGCCACGGGTCCGCATTTAATGACCATAATTTAAAATAAAAAAAATCATATATTCCTTAATTATGGTATTCACCATATTTTAAAACTATGTAAATAGCAAATTAGGTCATATATAAGGCCAAAATTTTAGAAATCTATTTCAGGTGACACTCTTTAGATCCCTTAGATCTTTGCTCGGCACTTCGATGTTGGTTAGGACATTTCTTGTTAGATGATGTGCTAGATTAGAGCTAGGATGTTATATAGTACTCTGTATGTCTGACTATAATTCTCTGTTGTATTGGTTGCCCTAGCCAGACAATGTTTTGCTTGTGTTTTTGTGTTTACTGAGTGTGGACATGGGCAATAGTATATTAGGTCGGTTTTCTTGCAGGGAGTCGTGCCTAAATACACACACATAGGTTTAATAAACTAATTCCTTGTAGGTGTTTCTATAAGCTTCTCCAGCTAGGCATGGCTCATATGCGTTGCATGTTAACTTGTGCTAACTTTTTCTGCAAATCAAGTGTTTTATTTTTCTTTTATCAAATATTTGATAAATTCCTAGGATCGATTCTGTATCGGAAATAAGATACGAACACGGGTTTCAAGGTGAATGATGCGTCAAACCACGTGATGGGGATTAGGAGCAGCAACTCGTATCTTGTATCTTATTTCTGATTTTATACTTTTGTATAGAATTAGGATCGGACATATATATGCGATTTTCGACCGCATTTAATGTTTTCCTGGGATATTGCCGACCCAGCGGCACCGGGCAGTTTATTATTTTGATTGGCTTGCCTTTTTTTGTGATTGTTTTTATTTTCAGACTTTCTAATTTGATTGTTGTTTGTTGGGGATATTTGTCGTACAACAAAAATAATAACAAAGTCTTAATCCCACTACGTGAGGTCTGCTACATTAATCATTTTTCTCCATTGCGTCCTATTTAGTGTCATATTTTCATTTAGTTCTAATAAATTAAGATCATTTTTTATACAATAAGCCCAAGTCTTCCTACGGTCTACCTCTGCCTTTCTTAATATAAGTCGAATCTAAAACATCTACTCTTCTAATCAGATCATCAGATGGTTGGCGCTTAATGTGACCAAACCATCTAAGATGACTTTCTCCAATTTTATCCGTCACAGGAGCTACACCAACCCTATCACGGATATATTCACTTCACATTTTGTCTCTAAGTGTAAAGCCACTCATCAACCTAATCATTTTCATCTCGGCAACACTTAACTTAGTATTAAGCTTCTCTTTTAAAGGCCAACATTCAACGACATGCATTGCAGGTCTCACCACCAC